ATTTAATCTACAATTCCAATGTTTCGACAGTAATTCAAATGCAATGTATCTCACGGAACTGAATGCACTTTTGAATGTTATGGCTTAAATCCGAGGGCTCATGAGTCATTAGACTATATCTTTTCGCCAATCATGGCTATTTCTATGCTGAGCACGTTGCAAGATGTTTTCTAAGAAAGCGCAAACAATTAGTGTAGCCATGCGCTATACCAATTTTGTATAAAAAAATCATGCAACAATAACCCTTTTCCTATTGTAATAGATATCAAATTAGTATGCTGATGTTTTAATTTCCTCATGTCCGCTACGGCCTGATGGGCAGTAGGAATGAGTTCTGTTTGTATATTATTTTTTATAGAAAACATTGTTTTATGTTAGTGTTGAGAGCTGGGCTATGTTAGAGTAAAAATCGACCATGTTTTATTCATACGGAGAATAATTCATAAAGCAGTTTCGTTCCAGTTAATTATGCAAAATTTAATACTGTTTGACTACGGATAGTCCCAGACCGTGCTAAGAGAGTTATAGTAACGTCATTTATAGATAGATATTCTGGCATGTTACTTTGGCCATAGAGAAGTAGACTGAAATACCAATACCACAAAATCAACTTCAGCTATCTAAGCGTAGAAGACTTTAGTACATATATTGTTATCAATGTTTTACATATTACAATAATAATAATAATCAGGTCTCTAGGTATGGTCAGATTTCTGTATATGTTTCATATATTTATTTATTTATTAACAGCCCAATGGCCAAACTTAGACTAAAAACAATAAAATACAATTAAGATTTACAAAATTAGTACAGTAAATGCTATCCTCTTATCCCCTCCAGGTATACTCTGAAATCGCAGTAGGTATACTACCCCCATAAGCTTCTCAAATAGGTCGCTCTCCGGTGAAGAGTCGAGAAACCCATTAAGCTGTGAGAGTAACCAGGGAATGGGCACTTGTTGTCGCTGGACAGTGCATGATCATTTGTCAATTTAATAGACAAGTAGGTGATCGGCCTCCTGTGCCTGACACACGCCGTCGACTTTTTGAGTCTAAGGCAAGTCGGTTTCATCATGATGTTTTCCTTCACCGCACGAGTGACTGCTAAATGCGCACATAGAAAGTCCATTGGTGCACAGCCGGGGATCGAACCTACGACCTCAGGGATGAGGGTCGCTGAACCCACTCGGCCAACACTGACTGATATTACAATAATATTTTTTTTGGGCTCTACACCCCTATCTTGACGTTTCCAACCGTACAAGCAAGTTCTAATTGCACATACAATTGACCTCAGGGTCGTCACTTACTTAACTCATGCGGGACCTTAGGAAAGAGGTTTTATTGTAACAGTGGTCACCGGCGTATAAAATAGTATATTGCATTGTTTTTTACATGATAATGAATATTTTTTCTGGCAGCGATTGTGTAGCGTCACGCTCTGGCGCAGACATTGTGGGATACAATTGCAACATTTGCATACACCGACGGAAATTCATTGAATAGTTTAATTAAAAAAACATTTAAACAAATTAGGTAAAAAACTAAGGTATATTTACGCTTCTTTCTGGAGGCTCTGGGCTGGGAGAGGTTTTGGTGTCCATAACTTAGGCGATCTTTGACGTTCTCTCATTGTTTGTCTCTATAACCAAGCGCATTTAAAATCTACGTATCAATAAATATTCAAGTGAAATAATGCCATAAAATACAATGTACTCATTAAGTACATGTATCGTGTATAATTACAGTGAGTTCATTGCAACTGTTCGTTGTTTCGCCGTCAAACATAATTATCTGACCGTATGGTAATAACCAATGCAAATATGAATGGCTGCCAGCGCAGGCGCCGTGAAAAATGACTTCATTCCTTCACTGCAGTACACACATGGATAGAACTATTGTCATTCATTCTAGTCAATGTCAAAAATAGCAGAATTCATTGCTGATTACTGGATTCGTAAATTTTTCTGTTTAACCACAACTTGTCTTTGTTTTTTAATATGATATTTGACACTTCAAACATTATTTTAATCATATTAGATTTTCTTTCCAGTATGGTGAATTAGCCGAACCTTTGACTAAAAAATATCGACAATTGTTTAAAGAGTATTCTCCTCCCTCAAAGGCCGGCAACGCACTAAAATGGGTGTCCATGGGTTGCTATGAATGCCCTTTTTGTGCCCCTATCGTATAAAAAATATAACCTGTATATTGAATAGACAGGATTACATATTCGCCGACATAACTGAGGTAGAAAAATGTTTGGTTCGTAAGATTTAAGCGGGCCATAGACGGACCGCATGTTGCAGTCAAGACCGACTGCAATGTGCGGTCGCCGCACGGCGATCTGCAGTTTCTATACTAAATTCATGCGGTCCGTCTATTGCCCGCTTTAGTGTCGAGACTTATCAGGCATTAGATAAAGACGTATTGGTGGCATAGTCTCCGTTAGTCACGACTCGGTGTACCCGTCCAATCCAACCTAAGCCTAGAACAATTATTTTTATATATTGTGCAAAATCTCTCATTGATTTTATCTTACCCTGAGTGAAAACAGCACTCAAGATTAGCTTCCAGTTTCTATTTGCATACAGGTGTATAATTAAGGCGTAATAACAGCCTCTGTGGCGCAACAAAGAATAAGTTTGAGCAATAATTTAATGGTTTGTATGCAAAATAGCCTTCGTGTTGATGAGCTGACCGCGTCACGGTAGATGGGAGAATGGTCCTTTAACAACTTATAACAACATTTGAGAACTGAGCGTCATTTTGGTAGATACAAATGGAAAGAATCATGTCAACACGTTCTCTCTACACTAGCAAATACTTCTAAAATTTATCAGCGTGATAATCGTGACAAAGCATTCGACACTTGAGTGTGCACCGTCAGTCGAATACGTGAAATGTCGATCTATTTTCCCCACGCACAAGGGGCGTGTGAAAAGTTTTGCGCTCAGGGCAGGAGTGTGCTCGAGACTCTTGAAATATAAAAACCGCCCACTCGGCAACGTAAATATGGCAGATGAAAATCTTTTATCGCGGTCACGTAGCCGGCCGCGTCACGACCGCGCGTCACTCCAGGCAATAAAGAGCGAGCCGCATTCTAATTTTGTACAAACACTGGAATTTTTCGTTCCAACCTCACTTGTGCACAGGATTGGTTTATCTCTGGCCGGACAGGCACCGTTATGCGCACTTAAATATATCTTTATTTCACGTCAAAATCACGTTCAGAGATTACTCGATAGCTGAAATATGAATTCTTTTGTATGATTGTGACGTCTGTTTTCCTTCTAGCAATTAAAAAACCTTATGATACGTATAATTTTGTTTCCTGGTTGTAAATCATGTACTAACCCGCGGCGGACTTTCACAAATCCGATATTCACTTTCCGATAGAGATGTTATTGTAGAACGAAAGAGTGACTATAAACATCCATACTCCCGGTAATATCCTGTTATTTTTTCATAATAATCGCTATTGATGTTTATTTATTAGAAACTTCGAGGCAAATTACAGGTTTTATCGGAGTAATATTAAAAAATAAAAGGGTTAACCCAAAAAGTGAGTTGTCGGTTCGATCGCAATAAGTTTTCGATAAAGCTCGGGAGATTTAATTGCTGGTTGTGATCTGGTTTTATGTACAAAAAAAGATGAATGGCCGAAGTGCCTCAAGCTCGGGAACATTGGTATCCAGAGTTTTTTCTATGAGACGACCACTTTCACCTTCTCGTTAAACCCTTGCGCAGCCATCATTATTTATTCAGCGCATCGCGGTGTATATCTGGGAACTTGGATAATCAGATCGAGATATGTGTTATTATGATATAGATACCGATACCAAATCTGTGGGGCAATAAACTCGTATAAGAATTTAGCCTGTTCGCGGCCCAAAAGTTGTCTTTGACATGTAAAATAAAACTCCCTAATAAAAAGTGAGTGAAAACATATTGAGCTAATTAAAATCGTCATTCTGTCAAATAAATGAACGCAAAAATGTTTAAAGTAGCGAATATATATCGAAATTTCTCCCGACTCAAATTAAATTTATCGTTTAACGTTTTTGTGGGAACTTTTAAAGGATGCGAAGGTAACGAGATTAGATTTTATATTCGACCTCGGTAAATCATCAATATTGTAATCGGGTTTAGAGAAATTGTGGGCGGCGCACCGCATCCCGTGTGTGAGCGAGTGCATCCTTCTTGTAACAACTTTAGTAGCGAGTAATTACTCAGCACTGAAAATAAAGCAAAAGCCCGCGAATCGATCGTAATTACAATCGACATTAATTGAAATACTCTCCCAGGGGACAACTCAACTTGAGGGATTTTCTTGTTCGCATGTATCAAACTTTATTTTAAACAATTGTATACTTATATAGCTTAATGGTTGAGATGTAGAGCTTCGTAGAAATTGTTTAAAACCGCGATTATTATACAATTAGATAGCATATTAGCATGTGTATAGTAATTTAAACGCGTTACGCTCTGATTATATTTATTGCTAACAGTTTTTTGCAACGTTTTTTAATCTAGAAATATTTGTATGGACATTTATTTAGATGTTGAAATAGAACTAACTAGTTAAATACGTAATATAAATGGAATTTATTTAATCTAAGTTTGCATGACCACCAATAATATCGTTAACTAAATTTTCCTTGCGTGTAAAAAAATCTTGATTTTGTTTTCACGAGTGAAACTTGTCTGGCTTTCTCCTATTAATTATTTTTTAATAATTAAGCTGGTTGCGGGACATTTTAATGATGTTTGTTGTAGTGTATGTTGCATGCTTTAAGTGAATTAACAAATTGTGATTGTTTCTGAATGTGATTTTCTCTCGTCTTCCCCAGCCTGCCAGGAAACAGGTAACATCAAATTACTTCACACTATCAAAGAGTTTTATATCGCTCTCAAATCAATATCTAATTTCTACAATTGTCTCACTAATAAAAATTCTGTAGCTTTCTTTAAGGTAAATTTTATCAAATACTAATGCAGTTTTATCCACAACAGAGGGCCGGGAGTGCGTCAACTGTGGAGCGACAAGCACTCCACTGTGGAGACGAGACGGTACCGGACATTATCTATGCAACGCGTGTGGACTCTACTACAAGATGAACGGACAGAATCGACCTCTCATCAAGCCCAAACGAAGATTGGTGAGTGTAAGAATCCGACCAATTTGTTTTATGCTTATGTGACCATTCGATTTTTCAAGTTGGTCAGAGAGAGGAGTGAATGAATTATGAACGACTTGTTTCTCAATAACAAGTAAAACAAATTCTTCTACATATGTGTACGCTTATGTCACCCATTTAGTTGTAAAATACCGACTTTACGAACCCAAACTTTAAATATAAAAATAATAGCTTCTTAAATTAAATTTAAAGTTGACAATAACATTCGTGGTCTAATTTCTTTGTAAGAATTCCAAGAGTTCGCTTCAGAGATGTTATCGCGTCGTCAAATCTCAACGTTTCGGGCACCCTTTAAACAGTCCATAAACCTCATACTTTATTAGACAAAAGAATATATAAGTTTAATATCCAAGACGGTCAAAATGGGTGTTGTTTACAGTTAAGGGGCAGTAATAAAAAGGCGGGGCAAGCACGACATGACATAAAGCTGCGCCACAAATTGGCCTCTTAAGAAACCTGAGCGTTTCGACGAAAGCTCGTCCCAAAAACTTGCTCTATGACCGCCATAAATCTCTCTCTCTAATCTTAGCTCGGTACGCATAAAACTGAAACAAAGCGACATCGGACGTCACGTCGGCGGTCGGCATGTTCGCCTAACGACTGGCCCGTGCCAGCAATTGTACAATTTACCATAATACCCTTACCGCGAACATAAAGTACCTCGCATTTCTAGTCTTTTGTTAGCTAAATTACGTAATGTCCAAACATGATATAATCGCAACGGATGTTAAACGACTTTAGACTCTTTCGTATCAAATGTTGATTTGCATTTTTGGAATGTTTTCGTCTGTCATGGTTTTTAAACCCGGATGCGCTGGTTTTAATAAAACTCACTGTAGTGTGGATACCGTTAATGCAGGAGATTGAATTCTCACTTTTATTTTCATTGTGGGAAATTATGAGACAATGCGCATAGTGAGGAACAGGCTTTTATCATTTACAAAGGTGCAGGAAAGCAATTTGGTGTAATTAACTCATAGGCGATGCGATTGCATTTTTAATCCATAAATTTTACACACAGATTATTATAAATTTTTCAAACGACATCTTTTATTGCTAATATTACTTAAAATAGTCTAAAATCTAATTAATCAAAACTTACACAACATAAAAAACAAAAGTAGAACGGAGTAATTAAGCTAATCCATTAAGAAACGGAGACCTTCTTCAAAGTAAACGAAATAATTGGACAATGAATTAAAAAAACTACAACAATGAATTACGGAATTAACTTCAATTTAAGTGAAATGTTACTCGCACGAACTTGACATAATTTACAAATATTAGCATTGTCAATTTGATTACCTAAGGTTAGTTATCTTACTAATGTAATAATGTATTGTTAGGAAATCATATATCAGAGCTTTCTCTCGCCCAAATGATATCTAAAGGCCAAAGAAAAATATGGCAGTAAAGACGCCTTCAGCTATCAAAGACTCGTACTCGTATTGGAACACTGAAGCTTGCAAATAGCGTTGGTCTTACTACCAAGTGTCCGTAATCAATTAGGTCTGGGCCTCTTTCCATTTGTCATAGGCAAGTAGGTGATCAGCCTCCTGTGCCTGACACACGTCGACTTTTTGGGTCTCAGTCAAGCCAGTTTCCTCACGATGTTTTCCTTCCGTACATAAAATAATACGTAAATGCGCACTTAGTGAGAGTCGCACGCTGAAGCCAACACTGCTATAGGTTCATAATATTAATAATAAAAGAAAAAGTGATGGGCAAAATATTATACAACTATTTGAGGATAAAGTTTATTAATAAAATTTATACATGTTAATATTGATTTAGTATATATGAACCAAGGCTGTACATTTTGCTGACTCAGGCGAAGTCAGTTTTATACGGCGATTACCTAAATCGTCGGAGTTACGCCCCGAGAGTATTGCCAGACGCAGGGTCTCTCATCAACCTTTACATTACATTCGTATCATAGCATTATTTGTTTGTGAATCGTTGATATAATAATAAAATCCTCTATTATCTAAAACACCCCGATGATCTAGCAACCGTCCAATAAGGTTCAGTTTTAAAAGAACCTAATGAAGTAATCATTGTGCAATACTTCCCGAATCATTTGTAATAAATAAATCCTTGAATGTATATATGTAAATATAAGTGCAAATAAAATGTTCAAGTAGCAAAAGTGTAGTTTTTTGTAGATTTTACGATAAACTTTTAGTGTTCAAGTTAAGATAGGGATCTGTTCATTTTTGACGTTTAAGCATAATTTCTGGTTAATTTGAACAGAAAAGTGCATAATGCAATAAAGTTTATTATTAAATACTTACGTAATTTATTAAAATGTTTCAATTTTGATTTTGAAACTTAAAAACGATAATTCGCCTACTGATTGGATATATTTATGAACAATTTTTACAAGCCAATGTTGCAATTCTACTGTGACTGTTACTGTTTAAAGAAATAAGAAGAAAAGAGCGTACTAATTCTTAAAAGGCCGGCAACGCACTCGCGAGCCCTCTGGCATTGAGTGTCCGTGGGGGGCGGGGCGATATAACTTAACATCAGATGAGCCTCCTGCCTGTTTGCCCCCTGTTCTATAAAAAAATAATTTTATTAATAATTGACTTAATACTAAGGCCTCTTCCTAAAGGTCCATAATTTTCAAAGATTAAGCCGCTATTCGATATTACGCGGTACGAAAACTGAATATTCATATTGAAATTATGTAGTAACTTGCTCCAATTGACCTTCAGTCGATTTTATATTATGAATTTCACGAATGTGACAACATATAAACCTGCCTTAAGCTTTTATTTTTGCACAACATGAAATGTAATACTTCCCAAGACAAATGCGCTTGTATGAATATATGTATGCACATAAACTTTCAAGTGATTTTTGCCCCTGCGCTGCGCACCTCAGTAAAATAATATACTGAGTTATGGACACAAAAGGTGTAGAGCACATTGTTTTAACACTTATTACTAAATGTTCATTTTAGTTTTTGCTTATAAAGATACTTTATGACGGCAACTCTACGTCTTTTCATTATTTCACTGTGGTAATTAAAAAGTAAAATTAAGTCCGTGTTACCAAAAAAACCCCAACTGTCTTTGGTTCAATCCAATACTACAAATTTCAATAAAACCTCATTCCAAATGATCATCTTTAGGCCATGTCTCACGCTGCGAAACCGAACAAAAACCCAGATTTGTGTTTGATTCAATCAAATACTACAATAAATTACAATTTCTTGTAATAGAATGTCTTCTTTGGGCAATGTCTCATGAAAACCACTCGAAATTATGAGCTATGTCATACATTCATTTATATCAGCCCATTTAAAAGAACGGACTTATTATCTAACCTCACCAAACCACTATTTTCGGGAGGGTCATTCAAGAAACTATTGACACCTAGAACTAACCATGCTTATGAACATCTCATCTTTGTTTTTCCAACTTGAGTCTTCTAACCGGTTACTTTTACCTTATAACAATATTTTCAATTTTAATGTTCCGCCGCAAGCGCACAATAAAACAGTGCAGACGTGTACCGAAGTGCCATAAACATAACACACGTTACGAGAGTTGCCAGGTTATATATTTAATCTGTTTGCGACTACTGCGCGGCTGCAACGCGTGCTAACCTGTTTATGAATTGCGGCTTTGTCTACTATTATTATTTTTAAAATGGTAAAATATTATATAAATTCCACCCTTATCACTTCAATTTACCTTATCCAAAACAGACCGTATTTTAAGACCACCGCGTACCACTTTGTAGAACCAGGTTTCTCCGATTCAATTCGACTCCCTTCTAATAAAGTATCCTATACTTTGCAGCGAACTATATACCAGAACGCTTGAAGCCCATGGGCGACGGTATCTCTATTCATAATTGTGTCGTACTCACAGTTCACCCGTGGTTTTCAAATTTTTTTTACTTACATACTTACACGAGCACTGTTGGCCTAGTGGCTGCAGCATTCGCACGAAGATTGAAGGAAAACATCGTGAGGAAACTGGCTTGCCTTTGACCCAAAATGTCAACGGCGTGTGTCAGGCACAGGAGCCTGATCACCTATTTGCCTATTATATTGACAAATGATCATGATAACAGATACATAAATCTGAGGCCCAGACCAGACAGGTTGTAGCGGCATTTGAATAACTTCAATTAACTTACTTATACTTATTTTCATCAGTTATTGCATAATTATGTAATTGTATATATATTGTTACTAATGTAGGGCGCATGTGTTTGCTAATGTCTCAATCAATAACCACCTGTTCGCTATTTTCCGTCCATTCATATAACATCAGCGCCATCTTTCTGCTATAAATGTCACTATTAGACCATATTAAGTTTTATCACATAGTGTGATCGTTGTATGTCGTTTGCATGAGCAATTCGGCAAGGCGGCCATAGAACTCGGCTATTTGGCATTCAAAGGCCCAACAAGTGCCAAATAAAAATTACAATAAGAATTCTTTGGGCTCACGCTTAAATCGGTCCCACACTGTCTGCCTTATATGAGGAGTGACGTCACTCACGGATTTATAGCCCTCCGAACTTTCCCATTGGCTTTGATTGTGTCGTAAGCATTACATATTTACTGCTTTTATATGGAATGTTATGTGTATTTATTATTAAAAGGTTTTTCTGAATTTATACGTAAAACTTGAACAAAAATTAATTTATTCTATTCTACTAAAACATATCTATCCAGAGCGGACCTCGGCATTTAATAATAACAAATATATTACAATAAAATAAATCAGTGGTGCTACAGCCTTTTTAGGTCTGGGCCTCAGATTCCTCTATCTGATTCATCATCATTTGTAAATCTAATAGTCAAGTAGGTGATTAGCCTCCTGTGCCTGACACACGCCGTCGAATTTTCGGGTCTAAGGCAAGCCCGAATTCCTCACGATGTTTTCCTTTACCGTTCGAGGCGAGCGAATGTTAAATGCGTTCATAGAAAGTCCATTGGTGCACAGCCGGGGATCGTTCCTACCACCTCAGGGATGAGAGTCGCTCGCTGAAGCCACTACGCCAACACTGCTCACACAGCACAGTATTTCCAAAATTAGGTCTTATTCAAATGATATCATTTAAAGCGTCATCGGCTTGCCAAGTGGCAAAGACCACCACCAGGATAAGCCTTTCGCTTTCATTGCGCGCCCAACGCTTATGTGGTTGTCTTCTACCACGACTTTCGTGACCTGGACACCATTATATCACATTACTGGAGCTTTCCTCCTTACATTATAACTACCCCAGTCCACTTCCATTTCAGCTTCTTTTTTCTCTTGTACGAGGTCCAAGGCCTCGTGACGTTTCTATACTCCATGCGACGCTACTGATATAATATATCAGTTATATTATGAGCGTGTATTTGGAGTAATATAGTGCTAATTAAAAATAATGTTTGTGTATTTAACATGTCCAGTAGTGACCGTATACCCACTCAGTTGCCCA